TAGAATAGCCACTGCAAGACTCGAAGGTGAGCAAAATCAAAATGAGGGGAGCGATCGAGGTCTATCACTGGGCCCACTACCCAACCCCTGTCTGCCAAACATCTTGAAATCTTTCCAGCTCCTCCGCAGACCTCAATGAAGTGGTAGCGAAAAGCATGGGGCCTCTCAGGATGTGGTACTTCTTGAAGGCTGCCAGGATCCTCGATCTCCTCATACATCCAATCCAGCTTCCGCACAACAGCTTCTTCTCTGGAGAGCATCCTGGAGTAGCAGGTCTTACTTCTCCTTGTCCTCCACAGAACTCTCATGGTCTGCTGGTCCAAACTTCGTGACACTACAGCTCCTTTGGCGTCAGAAGAGTCTGTGGCATAGGTTTTGGGCTGGAACGTTGCGGAAAGGTCGGTGCAAAAGAGCGGGCAGAGCACTGCAGCCAACAAAACCTCCTGAGCTGCCTGTCGGGATAGTCGGAAGATCTTCGGCTTTCTTTGACTGACTTGATCAGCAGGGAAGACATTGTAAACTTCCGAGAAGATGGACATAGTCGGCCTCCTGTAGAGCATTGCATTGGTCCAACCCCCAATGAGGCACACCCATAGAGCATCTGTTGTCCAGCGAGCACAGGCCAACTTCATTGAGACATAAGAAAGCGCTAACCTCTTCGAAGCAGGGCTCCCCACAGTTGTAAGGCCACGAGCTCGAGTCGCAGGACATGCATCAATCTCTCCGGTCACCTTTGCCTTCTGCGAGTCCCATAGATCTTTGTCTGGCGAGCCCAACAGTCAGTCCTTCTTCGTAGGCTGTAGTAGCTCTCGCATGGTTGCTCGAGAGAGATCCTGGCTCAATGGTCCTTCTGGGTTGTATGCAGGCAGCTTTCCATCTTCAACTGAGATGCAATAGAAGTCGTCAATGACGAGGCCACTAGCGACATCTGAGCCACGAAAACACCTGCCAGGAACGCCCGGTGTGCCTCCGTAGCAAATTCAACCCCCAAATGGTCACCTTGGGGAACACTGTTGAAGCAGATCTGGAAAAGCTGAGGGATGTTCCTTTCCTTCTTCTTGTAGTTCTCTGTGGCTAACAGGAAGTCTCCATGCTTTGTCCTATCGTATCTTTGGCCACGTCGATTTCTCAACACCCAGCTTTTGAATGCAGCAGTCCCTTCCACAGCTGTGAGAGGCACCAAAGGAAAAACAGCATTGGAAGCTGCTCGCTGCTCTGACACCTTCATCTGGTGATAGAAGTCACGACGATCCGAAGCGCAAATACTCAACCTCTGATGTCTCGGAGAAATCTCAAGGTCCAGGAGACACTGGGCTGAGGGCAAACATCTGGAGGTGGAGACCAATCTGCCTTCCACATAGTTTCTGGCCCGACGGTCACCTATCATCCTGTCAGTGGTCGGGCTCTTGTAGTTGTTGAAGAAGCGCATGGAAAGATGCATAGTGCTTTCTTCGATAGGCTGGTTCCGAAGAAATAGCAACCCGCGAGCATCCCACACCAGCTCAGCGCTAACTCACATGTATGATCCAAACTTTCCTTCTCCAGGTCTGGTGAGTCCTCGGTTTCCTCCAGTGTCCAGAGAAGGCTGGCAGGCTCCTGGTCGGCAATCCAGTCGATCAGATAGATATGGAGATGGGTCCCAAAGAGCACTCCCATAGAGGATGAGCCGCGAAGGGTCCAAAGCACAGTAGGGCCTCAACTCCTCAGCTTTGCTCAAATCTCTGTCTACTCCTTCAAACGTACGAGAGTAAGGGTCGCCTCCATGACATTCTTTGTCAAAAATGTCTGACAGCTCATCCAGAAGCGACACCAAGGTGGGAAGTCTACGGCCACCCTCAATTACACGAAACTCTTCCCCAGAGCTACCGAAAGCCCTGACCACATCCCGGAGATACTCTAAAGCCTCTGCCTGTGATCTTGTAGGCGTCCTTGCCATTGAAGCCAGCGGAACAAAGGAGCAGTCTGCATGCCAGAAGTTGAGGGCCATCACGATGATATGGAATGCCCGGTCAAAGCTCAATCTTCTTCGCTGGCGTGACCCACATTTCGTGTGTCTGAAGATCCCAGGTTTTGGCACAGGTAGTGGAAAAAGGGCTTGTTCAGTTGCAGCATCATGCATACTATGACTATGGAGAGTAGTTTTGACGAATTCTGCAAAAGGTGTACTTGAAGACAGAACTTGTTTCAGCAAAGAAGCCGACCAAGTAGCAAATGAAAAAGTCCTCTTACTCCAAGGTGTAGAGCTCGAGGTAGATATCCCTTGTTTGCATGAGGGGTCTTCTTTGCTGGCAGCCTTGCAATGGAAATCAAACGCTCCATCGGAACCGAGGCCGGAACATAGCAAAGGTGAAGCTTCATTTCTTGTGTCATCTCGATTAACCTTCCTCCTCCTCACTGTTGGGCTTCTCCTCCTTTTCCCTTCTTTGCGTGGCGTGGTGGCTTCTTTTTCGATGCCTCCTCTTCCCCCTTGCCCTGGTTCATCTTCTTGGTGACCAAGCTCTCCTGACGACGGGAGTTGATGAGGTCCACTTCCTTGACATAAGCCAATGCCACTGTGGCCCACTCCGGTGGACACAAAGGGGCGAACGCCCTCAACCTGGGATTGGTAGCTGCCGGGCGAGCTTGGAAGACTCCGGGAGGAGGGTCCTCCTGAAGGGACAGAAGCCAGGCCACATCCCATTTTCCTCCATCCTGTGCTGCTTGCTCGATTGTGACCAGGGTCAATGCTAACAGTTCTTGCGCTCCTTTGTAGTCCGCAGCCAAAATCTGATCTGCAATATGGGCCAGGAGCCACATGACCAAGCCAAAGTCCCTCTGTCCCTGGAAGCCTCCGCTCTTCTCCACATACTTCGTGAACAGCGATCTCCCTTGGAAGTCTGCAAGGCTCATAGACACTGGATCTGAGGGTTTCATCCTGCACAATGCATTCTGGGTGATCTTGAGGAAAAAATCCCCCTTCCTCCCTGCCAGTTCGCAGATCAGCTTCTCTCTCTTCGTGGAGCCTCGAAGGGATAGCGAAGTAGAACTTGTTGCTCCTCCGAGGTCGTGTAGTCCGTCGTTTGAAGCAATCTGAGACATTGTCAAAGCTTGAGACTGTTGCAAGAGGAGCTCCGACATGCTGTAGGCATCTGGCATTGGGTGCCTGGGC